TGTTTCCCAAAGGCCTTGGCATTCTCTTGATGCATGCATTGTTGAACTTTCCTAAGCCATGGCCCTGCTTTGCCCAATAGCCTGACAGATCACAGTGGAACACAGATCAGGGAAGACAAGATGCAGGCTGTACTACTCTTTGGGGCTTCTAGTGAAAAGTCCCAGCAGGGCAGAATGTATAATATGCTCATCTTTCAAGCCCATTGTCATGGTCAGGGTTTCAGGACAAGGTGGGAGTCCATCACACCTTCAGCCCACAGAGAAGAAGAAACACAGTGTTTCTATGGAGAGGAAGAAAAACAAAGATGCCTGGACTCATGAGCATGAGGGACAGACAGACGAACTACAAAAGATGGAGAACTAAATTATACAACATGCTCAGAATCACTGAGAAGAGGCTTGGTGGTGAAGCCTGTGCTACACCAGTGTGAATGCCAGAATTCAGATCCCTAGAACTTACGTGTGGTGGCTTTCCCTGTAATCTCAGCCTGGGGAAGTGGAGTCAATGCGAGCTGGATAGTGAGACTAGCCATAAGAACAAGCTCTGGGTTTGAGAGACCCTGTCTCAATGACTAAAATGGGAGAGTGATGGGGGTTAATTCTTCACCTCAATCTCAGGCTTCCACATCCATGTTCTCACATGTACATAAGCATCCACAGATATGTATGTGCCCACACACCTAAAAAAAAACCCCTCATGCACACATACATAACACACACACACACAGGAAAACAGGAAAAGAAAAATAAATCAACAAAGTTGTCCTTAAACTAGCAGAGGTTTGAAGGCCTGATTTGCATCAAGCTCACAGCTGCCTCAATTGACTGCAGAGAGAGATAAAGCCTCCCACACTCCCTTTGGGGCAGATGTGGTAAGTTTGATTGTGAAATTCAGTTAGGTGCCATCTGCAGGGCCTGCCTCCACCTCCTCCACTCTTGGAAACTAGTAACTCGGAGCTGATTGCCTAGCTTTACCTCCCCAGCAGCAGGACCCAGGAGAGCCTGTGGGCCCGGATTCAGAGGTTGGCCCTACATGCTGATGCAACGTGCAGCAGCCTAACTTTTCTATCTTCTCTTCTTCCAAGACCTTGAAATCCACGTGTCCACTTCCAGCGACCTTGAGACTGGCAGATATATGTACCTCATTGAAATGACTCATAGAAAGCAATTCACAGGGAAAATACCACTGACCTCTCAAACCACACCTCTGCATCTGTGAATAGTAGCAGCATGAAGCCTAGACCAAGACCCAGACATGCCAGTGCCACCAATGGCTCTACTGTCCCCAGCAGCATGGTGCTGCCTGGTTTTATGTCAACTTGACACAAGGTATAGTCATCTGTGAGGAGGGAGTCTCCATTGATAAAAGGCCCCCATAAGATTGGGCTATAGAGCCTTAATTTTCTTAATTAGTGGTTATATGGGAAGGCAGAGCTCATTGCGGATGGTGCAACCCCTGGGTTGGTGGTCCTGCGTGCTATAAGGCAGTCAGCTGAGCAAGCTATGATGAGCAAGCCAGCAAGTGGCATTCCTTCATGGCCTCTGCATCAGCCCCTGCCTCCAGGGCTCTGCCCCATTTGAGTTCCTGCCCTGACTTCCTCCAGGGATGAGCTTTGATACGGAAGTGGAGTCAAGTAAGCCTCTCCTCTCCACACTGCTTTTGTCTCATCACAGCTATAGCAACCCTAACTAGCACAGAAACGGTACCAGGCGTGAGGTATTGCTGGGACAGACCTGACCATGTAGTTTTGTGGGGGACTGTAGAAGGACTTTGGGCTTGGAAAGCCACTGAGCATTCAAGGCTTGATGAGATGTTATGTCAGATCTTGGAAGTTAAGAGTGCTAAGAGAAATGCAGGAGATGGAGGTCTGACTTGTGATGTTCCAAAGGGAAGTTTGAGACAAGCAGAGCAGGGGGTCAACACAGCATTCATATACCACTGGGTACATTCCAGACTTAGGGACATAAGCCCTCCAGAGCCCTGTGATAGGTGTTGGGCATGGGGGTGAAGAAAAGAGCTGCTGAGTCTAGATTTCCATAGTCTATAACAGAGCAGTGCCACCCAATATTACATCTGCCACACACAACATTAAGGTCCTATAGAGACTTTCCAGGGCCACGGCAGGAGGTGCCCTTCTTGCCATGCACCACATTCCCAGATTTGGCCACACCTACCCTTAGCTTCAAACACTGCCCAGTAGCCCGCTAGCAAACTCCCACCCCTGCTCTTGCCACCAAGCTGATCTTCCCACAGGCTGTCCCTGCTTCTAGAGTCACTGGTTCCCTTTCCCCAAGCATTGCAGGTTTCAGGCAACAACTCACTTCCTAGTAGACCTTGGTGACTCCACTGCCAGAGTGTCCTTGGGTTTCACACTTCCTGTGTCTACGTGCATCAGACTTGGAGAGCTTTGAAAGAAGCTTAGCTGGTTTGTCCATGAGGTTGGTGTCTCCAGGGCTTTTCACAATGCCTGGCGGCCACTCTACAAGGACTGGGCAGGCCACCAGAACAGATACACACAGGGCAGGTGTGCAGGAGGATGGCTGGGTGGCTCCAGAGCACGGTTTAAGCCCAGCTCTTCCCAGGGCCTTGGCTTCCTGTCTGGGCCACAAGGATAGATGTGTTCTCTTGTGGTCTTCCCCATGCCTGACCTTCAAAGAACAAGGCAGATGAAGGACATCCACTTGGCCACCTGACTCTGAGCTAGATGCTTATGGCACGATGTTGGTCACACCAGATGCACAAGGCCAGCAACCAGCAGTGCCTTCTCCCAGGCCTGTCTTCAGGGCTGGAGACAGAGGACAACGGTGTGGGCTCCTTCCCAGGGGACTTCAACCCTGAAGCCTCCCTTTTCAATGCTGGTGCCCCTTCCCACTTCCCACTTCCTCACTAAGTCCCTTCAATAACCAGCATACTCTGGGGAGAAAACAGCAGAAAGACACAGAAGCCACAGTCATTCCTAGGAGGGTTAGACAAGCCTGGGAGACACAAGCCAGAGGAGCCCATCTCAGAACCACTTGTTGGCCTTTCCAAAGAGGAAGGCCACAGGCTACTCCATCCTAGGCAATGAGCCTCGAAAGAGAGTAACGAGGTGATTTTTCCAGGCTACTGTCTGCAAACAGTTCATGGCTGCTGGCCCTGGAGATTCCAGCTTTTAGAGACAGAGCCTCCAAACCTGGCAGCCCACAAGCTACATCTGTCAGGAGAGATGTTCTATTTGGGGACAAGTGTGGCAGTTTGGATGAGATTGTCCTCCATAGGCTCATCTATTCAAATGTCTGGTTCCCAGCTGGTGAACTGTTCAGGAAGGATTAGGGGGTGTGGTCTTGTTGGAGGAGGTGTGTTCCTGGGGGGCTTCAAGAGCCCATGCCAGGATCTGTCTCATATTCTCTCCCCTCCTCCCTCCCCCCCCCCCCGTGTGTGTGTGTGTGTGTGTGTGTGTGTGTGTGTGTGTGTGTCTGTGTGTGTGTCTGTGTATATCTCTCTCTTGGTCTGTTTCTTTCTCTCCCCGTATATGTGTGTGTACACGGGTGACCACGCATACTCCAGTGCCTTCTGCCTGCAGATCAGGATGTAAACTCTCAGCTACTGATCCAGCTCCATGCCTGCCTGCCATCATGTTCTCACCATGATGATCATGTACTAAGCCTCTGAAACTGCAAGCCACTCTCCTAATTAAATGCTTTTCTTGTACAGGTTGCCTTGGTCATGGTGTCACTTCACAGTGAGGTTATAAACTAAAATTAGTTCCGATATTGACAAATTAGATGGTTTCACTTTAGAACTGCAGACACAGGCCTATAATCATAGCTATTCAGATGCAGTGACATGTCAAGAGTGAGTTCAAGGCCACCCTGGACTACTTAGTAAGACACTGTCTCGAAAGACAGTACAAGGGCTAGGCACATGTCTCAGTGAGAAATTGCTTGCCTGACATGAACTTCACCCTAGATTAAATCCCCAGCACTAGGAGGAAAAAAAAAGAAGAATCCAAATGCCCAATCATGGGAGAAGACTCTATGGGAAGAGGCATCCCCCAGAACCCAGGGACAGAGAGGTACAAGGTAGTCAAGCCTAGGCCTGGAGCACTGCTAGCAGTGGGCTGAAGACTAAAGCAGACAGCAAGCACAGCCCGTAGGACCCCCAGTGAGCTGCGCAGGTCCTGGAGGCAGAGCAAGACATATCCCCCACCCCACCCCACCCCACCCCCACCACAACAGATGAAGAGGAAATTTCAGAATGCCACCCAGCCCACCTGTCTCACATCCATCCTTTGGTGACTGCATGGGGACTAAAGGCCACCTCTAGCAAGACAAACACCTTCCGGGGAAGTCAGAAACTTCTTACACAGAATGCCTGTCAGCTACTCGGGGCTCACAAAAGCACAGAGTTGCAAACTATCTGATGAAGGGTGGGTGAGCTTTTCCTTTTTATTTTCCTTTCTTTCTTTGTTTCTTTCTTTCCTTTTTTTTTTTTTTTTTTTTTTTTTTTTTAGACAGGGTTGCTTTGTAGGTTTGGAGCCTGTCTTAGAATTCTCTTTGAAGTCCAGGCTGGCCTCAAACTCACGGAGATCCACCTGCCTCTGCCTCCCAAATGCTGGGATTAAAGGTGTGCACCATCGCCGCCCGGTGAATGGTGTGCATTCACAATCACACATCCACTAATCAGTCGCTTGGCTCATGTCTGACAGCACCAGTGTCACCTTGGGGAGCACCCTCGTGACTGATTTGTGAAGAAAATGGTTAACACAATGACAAGCTATAAATGACAAATGTTTACATCTACTTTGAATATTGGCCTGCTTGAACTATGGCTAACATGCTCTTTAAAAAAAAAATTACTAATATTTGGTCAGCACAAGGTACCAGTTAGAAGTTGAAATTTCCCTCAGATCTAGTATGAGTCAGGATAGTCTGGGCAGTTCCCAAACCTAGGCAACAGGCGGCTGTGACCACATAATGGGAGGAAAAACTCATCACAAAAGCAGAAGACAGAGAGGTACCTGCTTCTTGTCCTCCAGTTTCTTGAAATCTTCACACGCTAGCCAAAACAAGACATTTTCTTCACTGAATTCCTTCTTCAAAAATTCCTATAGATAAAAAAGGGGGAAGGGAATCATACAGTGTTCGACGTTGAGAAAATACAAGTTTCCTTTAGAGGATGACAAGGCAAAAACGGACAGAGGAACCTGGTTTAATCATCTCTTGAAAAAACTCCACCCGGAAAAACAAAGAACATGTTTAATGTTGAAGCAAGAATTTCTTACGCATTTCACCTTAATGGTTTTGACACTGCAAGGCAGAATAAAAATGAAGCGGGGAATCTATTCGCATTTCTAAGCTGACAATAAATTACCAAAAAGTAAATTAAAGTGGAAGATATATCAACCCCTTCCAGACACTGTTTAAACAAAGTGCATTCCTCCAAAGCCAGGCCTTTTTTTTTTTAAACAAAAGAAAAGAAAACATATTAAGCCTGTCCAAATCACAATGATGGAGACCATTTTAAGTTGGAGGTGTGCTTTCTGGAACTGCTGGAGAGCAGTTAGCACTCGGTCAGCTCTGCGGTTACATTCAAATCTCCCCAGCATCTAAACGATACTTATAGTTCTACTCCGCAGCCTAGGAGCTCCGTGGGAACCAACAGCACCTGGGTCCATCACTTAAAAAGCAAGTTCCCAAGGATCAGGATTGGAATTCATGTGTGACCCTCCAATGGGCAGCCACATTCATACTGGCAGAAACTTATTTCCTGATATTATCAGCCCTTCCCTGTCCATCAGTCCTTCCTGTCCATCAGTCCTTCCTGTCCATCATCAGCCCTTCCTGTCCATCATCGGCCCTTCCCTGTCCACCATCAACCTTCCCTGTCTGTCAGTCCTTCCTGTCCGTCAGTCCTTCCTGTCCATCAGCCCTTCCTGTCCATCATCGGCCCTTCCTGTCCATCATCGGCCCTTCCTGTCCATCATCGGCCCTTCCTGTCCATCATCAGCCCTTCCTGTCCATCATCAGCCCTTCCTGTCCATCATCAGCCCTTCCTGTCCATCATCAGCCCTTCCTGTCCATCATCAGCCCTTCCTGTCTATCATCAGCCCTTCCTGTCCATCATCAGCCCTTCCTGTGTATCATCAGCCCTTCCTGTCTATCATCAGCCCTTCCTGTCCATCATGAGCCCTTCCTGTCCATCATCAGCCCTTCCTGTGTATCATCAGCCCTTCCTGTCTATCATCAGCCCTTCCTGTCCATCATCAGCCCTTCCTGTGTATCATCAGCCCTTCCTGTCTATCATGAGCCCTTCCTGTCCATCATCAGCCCTCCTTTGGGAGATTCCTTCCCCCTTCCTCATTTTTGTCAGTTACCATCTAGCCTCTTTCACCAGTAGTGATGCATTCAAGAGTGTCTGAGACTGGAGAGAATTAATGTTCATGCCAGAGAAACCCAGCTCATCCCTGACCGTCCTAGAAATCCTTCCTCCAGATCCCATACTAGTAGAGCATCCTTCTCCATCACCCCATCACACACACCCCCCCAACTATACAAAAACCAGAGACAGGCTGCATGTCCCTTTGGAAGCCCAAGGTGGTCATGAGAGATGAGCAGTTCCTAGTCTCTAGCTGGAGCAGACAGTGTTGTATATGGTCCTGGTCCTGGTGCCTCCACTCCCCACCACACACGTATCTAAGTTTTTCCTATTGTATAAGTTCCAGTGATCAATGAGAAGGCAAACCCTGAATCTCATCACGCCTTCTGGGTCTTCCAAAAGATTCTCCAAGGAGGCCGCCCACTTGGCTGTGCTGTTGAGGCCTTGCTGGCTGCTGCTTGAGCTCCCCTCGCTGTCATGGATATCTACAAAACACAGATCAGACAGTGTCACTACCCAAAGATTGTCCCGTGCAGATGGTGCATACGAGAATATTATTGTAAATCTACACTGCAAGGTCATCACCACCATCGGCACCAAACCAACATGTACTAGGGCTTGTCACAATAGACTCAGTCTACTGAGGTGGAAGTCACTATTCTTTCTGTTGTTCAGACATAACAAAACAAAAACAACTAAATGGAGCTCAGAGAGGGACTTGCCATTTCTATTACATCCTATAATGTCCCAGTTTGTCCACTGGCCCTTGAGTCCTCTGCAATCCACCACCCATGGACCCTCCTCAGCATCAACTCTTTCCTTCCCCCTTTTGCAGTTATGGTGACTCCACGGATCTGAAAGCTCCTATACAGCAGTATCTTCAGCATCTTTTTTATGTGGCGCATATAGAAGAGTGTAAAGCAAGACCAGGACCAGGACGATCACACCTAGAGTTGTCCAGATATGCAGGCATTGAAATAAATATCTTTTGTGAGTTTTTTTTTTTAATTTCAGAATTAATGCTTAGAGAATCTACAATGGGGCTAGGGATGTGTGCGGGTTAGAATGCTTCGCCTAGCCTGAGTCCCAGAACAAAGAAAATCCACAACAAGCAAATGCCAACATTGTAAATAAAGCACCAGCAGTCTCCATCTTCCCTTTCATCGGGACCCCAGTGTGGGTTCACATCACACTTAGCCAGTTTTTATTTAAAGTTTTATTGTCTGGTTCATAGTGGATGTCTTTGCATTAGTTTAGTTTAGTTTTTTTTTTTTAATATGTCATATCTCTAAAAATATATATATATATCTGGGGATGTGGCTCCATTGGGAGAGTGCTTGCCTAGCATACACAGACCCTGGGATTACTTCCTCACCTACACTAAAGCAGCCATGCTAGGTAGCACCTGCCTGGGATCCTAGCACATGGGAGGTAGAGAGATCGGAAATTCAGTCATCCTTGGCTACACAGTGAGTTCAAAGCCAGCTTGAGAAACACAAGATGCTGTCTATGAATGAACAAATGAAATATCACTGACTCTGAGGCAGCCTCCTTACCTGGTTGGGTCATAGAGTGACTGCATGGAATGTCTTACGCTAACAGGCTTGGCATCTAGGCTTTAGCAAAGAAAACGTGGCAGAGGGTCAGGCCATCACCCTGGGGCCACTAGGCTGAAGGAGGAAGCAAAGCACAAAACCTGTCTACAGACCTGACCCAGTTCTAGAACCATGGAAAAACCACTGGCATGTCGCTTCGGTCGAGTCATAGGTCAAAACCCAGCTTGACCGGCTTGAGCTACGAGGCCATGGTAAATGCATGTGTGCATTGGAGGGATTCCTCCACAGTTATTAAGGACTCAAGATGGAAGTACAAAGTGTGTACTTTCTCCACCACAGTAGGAAGTCTTTCATGTTCTTGACACAAACAATGAGAAGAACCTGAAGTGGCAGATAAGGCAATTACCCTGACCTGATCCTGATACAACATGCGCTTAAATCACACCATATCTAACAAATACATAGGATTATCATGTCTCCATTGGGGGACAAAAAATAGGAAATCCTTCCGAGAGCAGCACACTGCCAGTCTTTCCCTTTTCTGAAAAGAATGACCTACTGAGGGGACTGTATGTACAACACTAGAGACAAGGTTATATTTAAAGAAAAGAAAATAGACTTGACTCGAGGGGAAAATATAAGAGACCAACCAAGTAAATCACTTTTGAAGCATGATTGGAAAAAAAAATCTTATAACTTATTAATCACTGAAAATAGCTGAGATATCATTTAAGAAAATTTATATCTGAATATACTAGACTTGGGCCCAAGGGGTTGGCTTGGTTGGTAAATTGCCTTCTGTACAAGCATGTGGACCAGAACCCACGTGTGAGCCTAGCTAAACTGGTAAGCCCCAGGCCACTGAGAGACCCTGTCTCAAAAACAAAGTGGACAGCTACTAAGGAACACTCAAAAGTTGTCCACTGGCTTCCACGCATATGCACATATACTTAGATGCATATCTGTACACACACACACATCACAGAGAGGGAGAAAGAGAATACTAGACTTAAGAGTTGACAGTTGGTGTTCTTTTAGGAGACAAAGCAAGACATCTTAAGCTTGAATTTGTTTGGCTTTTTGAGAGACAGTCTCACTTCATAGCCTATGTTAACCTAGAACTTAGAACCGTCTACCTTGGCCTCTCCAGGGCTGGAATTGCTTGTCTGGACCACCACATACAGATCCACACCTTAACCTCTTAATTCCCTGGGGCTTCATCTCAGGAACCTTTACAAAGCAGCGTCAGAAACCTTGGACAGTGTGCTGCTGATGCTTGTGATAGTGTGAGAAGTTATTTGTGACAGTGCCACTCCTCTTGTTAAAGCAAGCTTCCCAACTTTTCCAAATGACCCTGCAGACCTTCTGAAGTGACTCTCTCCAGCTCATGGGTAAGAAATGGGTCCATCACAGAACGTCAATCCCTGGACACAGTTTCTCCCCATGTGTCAGATTTTTAAATCATCATTGTAAGAGACTTCCTGAAGCAGGGCCCATTCTGCCAAGCATCCCTCAAACTTACCTTCCGTCCTCTGCCTGAAGAACAGTTTGACCATTTACTCCAGTGATCCAGCAAATCCTCATAAGTAAATATGCAGCAGGACACAAGTGCCCTGTTCTAGGGACTACCTTGTCCAGTCACAAATTCTCGTCCATGTTTTCAGCCGTGCGTGGTCTGAAAGGACGCCAAAATTCTTGGTACTCTTTTAAATAATCAACCACACCGTACTAGGGGCTTCATCACCCTGCTCACTGGCAAATAAATGCATTTGGTGGGCTGCACTCAGGCATTTAAAGCTGACTCTGCTGCTGGGGAAATGCAAACCACCCCTTTACTGCTGGTGCTAAGCAAATTTGTGGATTAGCTTTTTGTGGCAGCTTTCAGGAGAACAAAAACCAAAATGGCCCCTTTGGTTCCTGAGGTCAAACCCTAGCACCCACATACACTCACATACGGCAGGTACCTATGTAAGCCCAGTGCTAGGGAGGAGGGTTGCTGGGACTTGCTGACAAGGCAGTCAAGCTGAATCATAGAATCCCAGGTTCAGGGAGAAACCATGTCCCCAGATAACAAGGTGGAAGTGATTGATGTGACATCAATCTCTGGCTTCTACATATATGCTGTGCTCATGCATACGCACATGCACTCAGACACAGAATGTATGTGCACCAGCACACACATAGACAAAAAGATGTTCAACTCCAGATCCACTATTTAGACTGCCTCCTGGACTAAAAGCAAAAGTCTAAGACAATGACTTCTCCTGGGTGATGTGTCTAAAGAGTCACCACATGGAACCATTGGGATCTATCTGTCCCCATCAGGACCACCTCCACAGGACTTTGGGGTCTTTGGAACACAGAAAATGGTAGTCTCTTATGGGTACACTCCAGGGCTCTCCCTTGCATCAGGAAATAACAATAATACTGTTAGAAAGGTATTCTCAAAAGCCCTGGTTACTGGTGTTTTAACTTCAGTGTGTGTGTGTGTGTGTGTGTGTGTGTGTGTGTGTGTGTGTGTATGTATATATATGGGAGGGGGGGCGCATGTGACTGCACTGTGCAAAGAGGCCAGAAGAGGGCATCAGAGCTGGAGTTCCAGGTGATTGTGAGCTGCAGGACCAGCATGCTAAGAACCAAACTCAAACTTTCCCAGAGTGATAGATATGCACTCTTAGCTGCTGAGCCTCTTTTGGACTTTAGTTCTTGTAACTAAAAGAAAGCCTTCCCTGTTGTCCATCTCTGCCACTGTAACTTTCCCACAGGGTTCTTCTCCCAGCTCCTGTCATGTGTTTTCACTTTCCTTGGATATTGGTTTGGATCTTTTCCAAGACTTCAGATTGACTTTAAGGGTTTTTGTTGTTTGTTTTTCAACACTGGAGATTGACTCCAGGACCTCGAGCACGTGCTAGGCAAGTGCTCTTCCACCAAACTATGTTCCCACCCACCACCTCTCTCTCCTCTTTCTCCCTTCTTCCCCCTCCCTCTCCTCTTCTTCATTCTGAGAAAAGGTTGCCCAGGCTGGCCTTGAACTCACTATGTAGCCCAGATAGATACTGAGCTTAGCAATCATCATGCCTCAGCCTCCTGAGGATCTGGGGTTACAGATCCATACCATCAGAGCCAGCCTGACTCTCAAGTCAGATTAGACTTTTGTTGTTGCTGTTACAACAGAAAGATCTTCAACATCTGCAAACACAATTCACTTAATGGCATTTATGTTTTGTCTGTTTTTTTTTTTTTTTTTTTTTTCATTTCTGTAACAACATGCCTGGGGCAGGCTACTTTATAAAAACAAGAGGTTCATTTTGGCCCATTGATTCAGCTCCCAGAGGCCTCAGATCTCAACAGCATATCTGGAAAATGTTTTTTCCACCTTCCTAATGCCTCACAATGGGAACTGCACTTCAAGACAGATTCAAACTGTACCCAGATCATAGCAAGCCATCATCTCCAGGCTCCCATAAGATGATCACCAGCCTGCCGTATGTCTGGCATTGCCCAAGAAGTCACCCTGAATTCAGGGCCCTCCTGTGACTCAGTATCCCCTGCTTAGAAGAATTTATGTACTTTTCAATATGGACTGAGTAAGAGACCCTGCGCTATCTCAGCTCACATTCAACATGCCACTCACCCAGTAACACACAAAAGAAAGAACAGCTTTTCTCAAGAGCAAGCACACAGGAAGCTCCAAATCAGCCATGGCTATATGGGTAGACCTTCTCAAAATACTAATAATTAATACTAATAAAAACAGAAAAAATAAAGCAACACCAAGATTTCACAGCTGCCCAAACTTTGTCCTGAAGTCCAAAAACATTCAAGTGCTCTCTCATTCATACACATGGATGTGTGCGTGGGTGCGTGGGTGCATGCGTGTGTGCGTGCTGTGTGTGTGTGCTGTGTAAAGTACAGAGGTCCCTGGTGTT